GAGAAATGCAAATCAAAACTGCAATAAGATACCATATTACACCAGCCAGAATGGTAGATATTAAAAAGTCAAGAAATGACATGCTGGCGAGGTTGAGAAGAAATAGGAATGCTTTTGCACTGTCAGTGGAAACGTAAATAAGTTCAACCATAGTGAAAGATGATGTGGCAATTTCTCAAAGATCTAGAACTGGAAATACTATTCGACCCAGCAATTCTGTTACTGGGTATATACACAAAGGAATATAAATCATTCTATTACAAAGATACTTGAACATATATGTTTGTTGCAGTACTATTCATAACAGCAAAGACATGGAATCAACCTAAATGCCCATCAATGATAGAATGGAAAAAGAAAATGTGATACTGTATGTTCATTGCAGCACTGTTTACAATAGCAGAGACTTGGAACCAGCCCAAATGCCTATCAATGATAGACTGGATAAAAAAAAGTGTGGCACATATATGCCATGGAATACTATGCAGACATAAAAAAGGATAAGTTCATGTTCTTTGCAGGGACATGGATGAATCTGGAAACCATCATTCTCAGCAAAGTAACACAAGAACAGAAAACCAAACACCGCATGTTCTCACTCATAGTGGGTGTTGAACAATGAGAACACATGGACACAGGGAGGGAACGTCACACACTGGGGTCTGTTGGGAATTGGGGGCTAGGGGAGAGATAGTGGGAATGGGGAGACTGGGGACGGATAAAATTAGGAAACATAATGTAGGTGACAGGGGATGGATGCAGCAAACCACCATGGCATGTGTATACCTATGTAACAATCCTGCAAGATCTGCACATGTACCCCAGAACTTAAAGTAAAATAGATAGATAAATAAATAAATAAATAAATAAAATAAAATATGATACACACACACCATGGAATATTATGCAGCTGTAAAAAAGAACAAGATCATGTCCTTTGCAGGGACATGGAGGAATCTGGAAGCCATTATCCTCAGCAAACTAATGCAGGAACAGAAAACCAAACACCACATGTTCTCACTCACAAGTGGGAGTTGAACAAAGACAACACATAGACACAGGGAAAGAAACAACACGCACTGGGACCTGTTGGGGGTTGGGTGCAGGATTAGAGAACATTAGGAAAAATAGTTAATGCATGCTGGGCTTAATACCTAGGTGATGGGTTGATAGGTGCAGCAAATCACCATGGCACACATTTACCTTTGTAACAAACTTGTACATCCTGCACATGTACCCTAGAACCTAAAATTAAAATAAAAAAACAACAAAAAAATCCCTCTGCATAGCAAAAGAAGCAATCAACAAAGTGAAGAAACAACCCACAGTATGGGAGAATATATTTGCAAACTATCCATCTGACAGGGGATAAAGGAATAAATAATCACACACACACACACACACACACACACACACACACACACATTATATCTATCTATCTATCTGTCTGTCTGTCTATCTACCTATCTTAGGAGCTCAAAGAACTCTATAGGAAAAAATCTAATAACCCGATGAAATATGGGCAATAGACCTGAATAGACATTTCTCAAAGGAAGACATAAAAATGGCAAATGGATATATGAAAAAGTGCTTAACATCAGGAAATGCAAATTCAAAGTGCAGTGAGATTATCATTCCAATGTAAGTAAAATGGCTTTTTTTGTAAACAGGTAATAGAGGTATCATATGATACAGCTACCTGACTGCTGGGTCTATAACCTAAAGAAAATCAGTATATCAAAGAGATAGCTCTACTTCCATATTTATTGCAATACTATTTACAATTGCCATAATTTTTATTGTCACCTAAATTTTTTATCAATAAATGAATGGATAAAGAAAATGTGGTACATATTCACAATGAAACACTATTCAGCCATAAAAAGCAATGAGATCCTTTCACTGGCAACAACATGGATGGACTGGAGGTCACTATGTTAATAAAATAAGCCAGGCATAGAAAGACAAACTTCACATATTCTCACACACTGGTAGGATCTAATAATTACTCATGTAGACAGAAAGTAAAGGATGGTTAATGGATACAAAAAATAGATAGAATAAATAAGATCTAGTATTTGATAGCACAACTATAGACAAGATTGTCTATAGTCAATAATAATTATTTGTATAGGTTGAAAGAACTAAAAGAGTATAACTGGATTGTTTGTAACACAAAGAATAAATATTTGAGTAGACAGCCCATTTTTCCTGATGTGATTATTATGCTCTGTATTCCTGTATCAAAGTATCTCATGTACTCCATAAATATATACACCTGCTATGGATCAAAAAAATAATAATAATAATAACAGAACTTTACAAACCAAAAGAAAGACATAAATATCCAGATACAAGAAAGTCAAAGAATACCAAGAATATTCAACCTAAATGAGTTATTCCAAAGCACATAATCAAGTCTCAAAGGTCAAGGACAAAGAAAACATACTAATAGCAGGCAGCAAAAAGAAGCAAATCACATGTAAAGGAGCTCTGATATGTCTGGCAGCAGACATCTAGGATGCGTCTTGACAGGCATAGAGAGAGTGAGATAACACATTCAAAGTGCTGAGGGAAAAAAATACCTTTTCATAAAGAATACCAGTATCCAGGAAAGTTATATTTTAAACATGAAGGAGAAATAAAGACTTGCCCAGACAAAGAAAAGCTGAGGGATGTTATAAACATTAGACTTGTTGTACATGAAATGCTAAAAGGAGTCTTTTGGTCTGAAAGAAAGAATGCGAATGTGTCACTAAAAATTATCTGAATGTATAAAGAGACTGGTAAAAGTGGTACACAGTCAAACTCAGAATGCCCTTATACTGTAATTGTGGTATGTAAATGACTAGTATCTATAGTAAGAAGACTAAAAAAAAAATCGATCAAAAACATTAGCTACAACAATTTGTTGAGAAAGACAGTATACAAATATCTAGAGACAACAAAAAGTCAAAAAGTAGGAGGGATAGAGTTAAATTGTAGTTTTAAACTTTTTGCTTGTTCTGTTTTTTCATTTGTAATCACAGTTAAGTTGTCATTATTCTAACATAACTGGATATGAAATTCTTTGGGTTCATCTTATTTGGGATATATTGGGCTTCATGAGTCTGGATTTCTATTTTTCTTCCTCATATTTGTTGAATTTTCAGCCTTTTTTTTTTCACTATCTTTCTCCCTTCCTTCCTCCTTTCCTTCCTTCTTTCCTTCCTTCCTTCCTTCCTCTCTCTCTTTCTTTCCTTCTTTCCTCTCTCTCTCTTTCTCTCTCTCTTTCTTTTTTGTTCCTTTTGGGACCTCAAAATGCATGTACGTCTTTGCTTCATGGTGTCTGATGAGGCCCTCAGAATTTCTTCATGTCTTTTTCTGTGTTTTTCTTGCCCCTGTTGGCAGATTATATCCAATGACTTGTTTTTGAATTTGCTGATTTGTTCTTCTACTGGAAAAGTAGAGAGTTGAACACTTCCAGTGAACTTTTCAGCACAGTCATTGTCTTCATCTACTCTCTGATTTATTTTGGTCATTTGAAATATTTGAAATATTTATTTGTTGAATTTCTCACTTTGTTCATCCATTTTTATCTTGACTTATGTGTGCATTGTTATGGTAGTTATTTCTAATTTGTTATCACGTTATTCATATACCTCTCCTTACGGTCAGTTTCTAGAGATTTTTTTTTTGTTCCCTTTTGAGTCATGTTTCTCTGTTTCTTCATGTTCCTTGTAGCTTTGTATTTGTGTATGCATATTTGAAGAAATAGCCACCTCTGGGGGCCTGTCAAACCTTCTCTGTAAAGTGTCTTATCTGTATTTATGTGTGTATATTTTTAATTAGAGAGATTTACTGGTTTCTGTTTTAAAATATGTTGTAATCTCTGGCTCCCTGTGGTGTCTGTTTGCTCTACTATGAGTTCTTTGATGCAGAAGGATGACACTAAGATTTTTTTAAAATTATGTTTTGTTCCAAAGACATCTAGAGTGTCTGAAGTCCCATTGACATCCTGGGTGGGCAAGACAAAAGCAAATTTCTTGGGCATCTCCCTGAAAAATTAGAATGTTGGACACACATTGCACTCCCTTCCCTCCCTCCTAAGGGAGATATCTAAAATTGTCCATCTTATTTTTTACTGCACTGAGCTGTACCAGTCACATTTTTTCTTTGTACTCACCTTTTATTCAGTGACTCAAATATCCAAATATGCCAGTTCCATATGTGCTTTGAGTGAGGTGAGACAAATACCACTTCCTCATACAGTCTGTCAAAAGGCCCAGATATGTGTGGATGTTCCACTCCTTTCTTTTCTGTGAGGGAGCAGTCATAGGCCAGGGTATTCTCTCTTGGCACTGAGTTGAACCCTAACTTTGGAAAGGGGTTGTCATGGGTAAGGTGAAATTACTCTTTTTACCCATTTCAGTGCAACTGTTCTTGGTTTTCTGCTCATCTATGATTTTACAACATCTTACCTCTATTTTGGAAATCTCATAGGGGTGTTTGGATACAATCATTGTTAAATCAATGTTTCTGTGGGGGATTAACAGGTAGGACTTCCTATTTATGATTTTTTCTGTGTTTGTGATCATGACCTAGTGCTTTAGAGGTTTTTATGCACCTTGATCTAAATTACCTATCAAAATATGGAAACACTCATTGAGTTATATATATTTGTGTACAAAATTCTTTTTGTAATTTACCTCATTAAAAATGGAAACAAACACATTAAGAAACTTCAAGCCAAAGCGTATACTATAATTGAAGTTCTCAGGATCAGTCTCCAGTGATGAGCCTGATAGGGTGTTGTGATAGACAAAAAACAATTGTATCATTAATTCCGTGTCAGTCTGTTCAGAACTCCTTTACTGCATTCAAACATAGCAATTATCTTTATGGCTTTCTCATCTTTTATGTGCAAATGTGTTTCCTTAACATGCTGTACTACTTGAAATGAGAACGCAACTCATGTCTCCAATATTTTAACTTTCCCTCAAACACTGCATGAAGCTTACCTTGTAAAGGACAGGAGGAAGATCATTTTACGTACGTTAGGCATGTGGAGCAATTCACACAGAGAAGGTTTTTTTTGTGCTGCCTCCAGTTCTTCCTTCATGGTGGATTTCAAAATCTTCAACAACAGCAGAAACAATAAACTGGACAGTTGTCACAAAATAGTAGGCACTGTAGGGGCACTGGTCAACCCACAAATGAGAAATAACATGACTTTTTGTCTGTTTGAAAATATAAATCTTAAAATGCAACGATATATGTAAAAATGAGATGTAAGTTGAATTAGGAAGTTAAAGCAGCCTCCAGGAAATCATGTACCAAGGATATTTCAGATGAGACATCCAAGTGGCTGCAGAGCATTGAAAAGGATATGTATGTTAGAGATTCAGACCATGATGGAGACCAAATAAAGATTACACTTTAAATGAAGGCCAAATTGGATTATAGCCGAAAGCTCCATTTGGACCATATGGCACCCAAAGATGTGAACATTGGTTCTCTGCTCACTGCCCTTGGTCAAAAACAGCTTGCCTCAGAAAGGAGAAAAATTTCTTGAGAGAACTCATTTTGGTTCTCAGCTCAGAAATACTGACGGTTGGGGAAGGAGAGGCTGCTTTCTCCCTAATCTCATACTTCCATGAGGAATAACCTTCAAAAGAGACAATCCTGGCCCTTCTGTACGTACCATCAGCTACCCATAAAGAACTGAGTCATTTGATTGGTGAGTGTGGGAGAATGCACATTAGAAGGAGATCACATTCAGGTCTGCTTTCTGGGCTACACACTATATTTATCAGGTCAGGTTTTGTACCTTTAAAAAAATCTGTGACAGGTATGTTCAATTATGGAATGAAGTGTTACAAATTCTGTTGATGGTAGATGTTGAAAGTCACATCCTTTATTCCACTTTTCACAGTAGTAAAAAAAAACTGAAATTTTTGAGCTTCATGTTTCTAAACACTTTAAATATCTCTGAGTTATATGTAATCAGGGCAGAGGAGATGTATATTATTCGCTGGGCTCCCAGACCCATAAGACTGTAGTAATTAATGAATTGATATTGATATAATGTGGAGCAGCTTTAGGCTAGACGCATGTCTAGAGCAGGTGTATTAGGAAACCTATGAGATGGAGATTAAAACAGGACTAAGACTAGACATTTATGAATAATAGTTACAAAATAATAAATCCAAATTTAGGTGACATTAGGTACCTAATCATGTATAAAATCAATTTTTCACACCAAATTTCAACTGCACCTTATAAGCAATGCTCTCTTTTTCCCCCGGGGAACTGAGGGGACCATCAGTTGCCATTTAGTTTAATAATGCATTGTTCTTTTTTTTGTTCCAAAGCTCTTTTATTATTATTTTTTTTTACTTTCCAACTTTTAGTTTGGGGACACAGGTACAGGTTTGTTACATGGGTAAATTATGTGTTATGGGGGTTTGGTGTATAGATTATTTCATCACCAAGTTAATAAGCACAGTACCCAATGGGTAGTTTTTTGATCCTCATCTCCATACCCCCTTCCATCCTCCACCTCAGGTAGGCTCTGGTGTCTATTGTTCTCTTCTTTGTATCTATACAAAGCTCCATTTGGACCAATGTTTAGTTCCTACATATAAGTGAGAACATGTGGTATTTGGGTTTTCTTTCCTGCATTAATCGGCTTAGGATAATGAACTCCATCTCTAGCCATGTTGCTGCAAAGGACAGGATCTCCTTTAATGGCTTCTTAGTATTCCATGATGTTTATGCATCGCATATCCTTTATCCAGTCCACTGTTGATGGGCATTTAGGTTGATTCCATGTCTTTGTTATTGTGAAAAGTACTGTGATGAACCTACATGTGCATGTGCCTTTATAATAGAAAGATTTATATTTTGGAGGGTACATACCTAGTAATAGATTGCTGGGTCAAATGGTAGTTTTGTTTTGAGTTATTTGAGAAATCTTTAATTTCAGACACTGCTTTTCACAGTGTCTGAGCTGATTTACAGATATACATTTCCAACAAGAGTTTTTAAGTGTTTCTTTTTTTTTCCCCTGCAGTCTCACCAGCATCTGCTATTTTTTGACTTTTAAATAATGGCTATTCTGACAGGTGTGAGATTGTATCTTACTGCGGTTTTGATTGATTTTTCTAATGATTAGTGATGTTGAGCATTTTTTTTCATATGTTTGTTGGCTATATGTATGTCTGCTTTTGAAAAGTGTTTGTTTGGCCAGGCACAATGGTTTATGCCTGTAATCCCAGTACTTTGGGAGGCCGAGGTGGGTAGATCACTTGAGGTCAGGAGTTCAAGACCAGCCTGGTCAACATGGTGAAACCCTGTCTCTACTAAAAATACAAAAATTAGCCAGGCATGATGGCACAAACCTGTAATCCCAGCTCCTCAGAAGGCTAAGGCAGGAGAATCGCTTGAAACCTGTAGGTGGAGGCTGCAGTGAGCCAAGACTGTGCCACTGTATTCCAGCCTGGGTGACAGAACGAGACTCCGTTTCAAAAACAAAACAAAACAAAACAAAAAACCCCACAACTGTTTGTTTATGTCCTTTGGCTATTGTTTATGAAGTGTGTGTTCTTTTTTAATTTGTTCAAGTTCCTTATAAATTTTGTATTAGGCCTTTGTTGGATGCACAGTTTGCAAATATTTTCTCCCATTCTATAGGTTGTCTGTTTACACTCTTCATTATTTAACAGAGTGAATAATGAAGAGTGTAAACAGACAACCTACAGAATTATTAACTTCTGTGCAAAAGCTCCTTAGTTTATTTGGTCCCATTTGTTAACTTTTTTTTCTGTGGCAATTGCTTTTGGAGTCTTTGTCATGAAACCTTTGTAAGGGCCTTTTTCCAGAATGATATCTTCTATGTTTCCTTCTAGGATTTTTCCAGTTTTAGATCTTACATTTAAGTCTTTAATCTATCTTGACTTGAGATTTGTATATGGTGAAGGGAAAGTGTTCAGTTTCAATCTTCTGCAGATGGATAGTCAGTTATCACGCCATTGACTGAATAGGGAATCCTTTCCCCATTGCTTGTTTTTGTCAACTTCATTGATGAACAGACGGTTGTAGAGGTATGGCATTATTTCTCAGTGCTTTAACCTGTCCTATTGGCCTATGTGTCTCTTTGTACCAATGCCGTGATATTTTGGTTACTGTGTTCTTGTAGTATGGTTTAAAGTCAGATAGTGTGATACCTACAGCTTTGTTCATTTTGCTTTGGTTATTTCAACTCTTTTTTGGGTTCCATATGAATTTTAAAATAGTTTTCTATAATTCTGTGGAAAGTGTCTTTGGTAGTTTGATAGGAATAGTATTCAATCTGTAAATTGCTTTTGGTGTATGGCCATTTAAACAATATTGATTCTTCCTATCCATGAGCATGGAATGCATTTCCATTTGTTTGTGGTCATCTCTGCTTTCTTTTATCATTGCTTTGCAATTCTTACTGTAGAACTCTTACCTCCCCAGCTAGCTGTATTCTTAGGTATTTTATTATTTTGTGTTTATTGTGAATGAGATTACATTCTTGATTTGGCTCTCAGCTTTAATGATGTCAGTGTATAGAAATGCTACTGATTTTTTGTACATTGATTTTGTATCCTGAAACTTTGCTAAAATTGTTTACCAGATCAAAGAGCTTTTGGGCTACAACTACAGGGATGAGTATGTATAAGATCATATTGTATGTAAAGAGAGATAGTTTGTCATACATAGCTCTTATTATTTTGAGGTACACTCCTTTGGTGCCTAGTTTGTTGGGGGTTTGTAACATGAACGATGCTGAATTTTATTAAAAGCCTTTTCTTTGTCTATTGGGATGATCATGTGTTCTCTGTTTTTAGTCTTGTTTTTGTTTGTTTGTTTTTTCCCTGCTAGATTTTGGTATCAGAATAAATCTAGTCTCATAGAATGAGTTAGGAGTCCCTCTGCCTCAGTTTTCTGGAATAATTTCAGTAGGATTGGTACAAGCTCTTCTTTATATGTCTGGTTGAATTTAGTGGTGAATCCTTGTGGCCCAGGGATTTTTCTGGTTGGTTGGCTTTTTATTACTGATTCAGTTTTGAAACTCATTATTGGTTTATACAGGATTTTAATTTCTTTCTGATTCAATCTTGGGTATTTGAATGTTTACAAGAATTTATCTATTTCTTCCAGGTTTTCTAGTTTGTGTTCATAGAGCTGTTTGTAATAGTCTCTGAGTGTTTTTTGTATTTATGTGTCGGTGGTGGTAATGCCACCTTTATCATTCCTAATTGCATTTATTTGAATCTTCTCTCTTTTCTTCTTTATTGGTTTATCTAATAAAGTCTATCCATCTAATGTGTCCTTTGAAATTACCAATCTTTGGTTTTGTTGATAGTTTGTGTGTGTTTTTCTTTTTACACCTCAATTTCACTCAGTTCAGCTTGGATTTGGTTACTTCTTCTCTTCTGCTAGCTTGAGTTTTGTTTGTGCTTGTTTTTCTAGTTCCAATAGGTTTGAGGTTAGATTGTTAATTTGAGCTCCATTGAACTTTGTGATGTGCGGATTTAGTGCTATAAGTTTTCTTCTTAACGTGTTTAGCTGTGTCCCAGAGAGTCTAGTGTGTTATATCTTTGTTTTCATTAGCTTGAAAGATTTTCTTGATTTCTGTCTTAATTTCTTTACCCAGAAGTCATTCAGGAACAGGTTGTTTAATTTCCATGTAATTTTATGGTTTGGGGAGGTCTTCTTCACGATCTCTCTTTTTATTGTGTTGTGGTCCAAGAGTGTGGTTGATTTAATTTTTTTTTTCTGCAGATTGTTTTATGGCTGATGTGTGGTCGATTTGAGAGTATGTGCCATGTGCAGATAAGAAGATTATATATTCTACTGTTGTTGGGTGGAGTGTTCTGTAGATATCTATTAGGTCTGAGGGAATGTGTTCTTTTTCCAGGTCCATGAGGGGGCATAGCTTTAAGGGCAAGAATTTCCCTGGCACCATGCCGTCCTCCCATCTCTCTCCATCCAGGAGATTCAACGGCCTTATTTTTGAATTTCGAGAGTGCAGAAAGAAACTAAAAGTCAATCACTCCACCTATAATCCCAGCACTTTGGGAGGCCGTGGTGGGTGGATTAAGAGGTCAAGAGATCGAGACCATCCTGGTCAACATGGTGAAACTCTGTCTCTACTAAAAATACAAAAATTAGCTGGGCATGGTGGCACACACCTGTAGTCCCAGCTACTCAGGAGGCTGAGGAAGGAGAATTGCTTGAACCTAGGAGGCAGAGGTTGCGGTGAGCCGAGATCGCGCCATTGCACTCCAGCCTGGGTAACAAGAGTGAAACTCCCTCTCAAAAAAAAAAAAAAAAAAAAAAAAAAAAGTCAATCACTCCAGCAGAAGTTCTAAGAAACTCCTTTCAGTGGCCCCAGGGTCTTGGAGAAGATGGGGATTCCTCCCAGGATAAATGTCCATGCCCACACACCTGGCTGGATTTCCCCTCTGGAATCCTCTTCCACACTCTTCGTGGAAGCCTTTCTTCTCTTCTCCTTTCCTTCTCTTTTCTCTACCCAAATAAAATCACCTTTCTGCAACATTTTTGGGGTCTGATATTCACTTTAGGAGCATACAGGGCAGCTGAAGGGGCCCAACTGCTTATTCTTTAAGAGGTTGGAGGTCAAGAACCCAAAACAACCACCGGCATCCAAGAAAAAAACCTGATTACAGGTCCATTTGGCCAAGTGTTGAGTTTAGTTCTTGAACATCTATGTTAGTTTTCTGTGTCTGTAATCTATCTAACACAGCCAGTGGGGTGTTGAGTTCTCCCACTATCGTTGTGTGATTTATCTAAGTCTCTGTAGATTTCTAAGAACTCATTGTATGAATCTCAGTGTTCCAGTGTTGGGTGCATATATATTTAAGATAGTTAAATCTTCTTGTTGAACCCTGGACCATGATATAATTCTCCTTTTGTCTTTTTAAATCACTGTTGGTTTAAAGTCTGTTTTATCTGAAATCAGAATAGCAATGCTTGCTCTTTTTTTGTTTTCCATTTGTTTGTTAGATTTTTCTTTATCTTTTCACTTTGAGCCTATAGGTGTCACTGCATGTGAGATGAGTCTCTGTAAGTCAGTATACAATTGGGTGTGTGTTTTCTTTTAACCCAACTTGCCACTCTGTGTTTTTTAAGTATGATGTTTTACATTTAAGGTTAATATTCATATGTGAGGATATTAACAGGCTTGCTCTTAATCCTCTTGTTTTCAATAAAATGAGAGAAGATGTATTTTTATTGTCCCCAGTAGCATTTTTTCCATTCCTGTATGATTTCCAATATTTGGATTTAAATCTGTCCATTAATTTTCTCTGTCCTAGCAAAAGTTTCATTCACGCTGTTACCTTGACTTATTCTGTTATTCATGATCTAGTACCATTTGTATATACTACATTTTAAAATTAATACTTTATATATGTGCATAACATGGATAATATTTAACTTAAAGGTCCATGGCAATATTTTTCTTTAAGATCTGTGTGGATTGAAATGAGGAAGACTTCCACAGGCATTTCTACTTAGTCATGCTTTAAGAACTTATAGTTGTAATTAAGTAAGTATAATGAAACTCCAGACAAATAGGGATTTAGATTGATGTGGGCACTGTAACATTTCCAAGGAAGAAAGGAATCTGGCATAGGTAGGCCCTCACTGAATAGAGCATGAATGGAAGAATGTATGATTGAATGAACAAATAAGTGAACCTCTTATGTTCTATTCTGTTTGCTCACTAGTCCTTCCTCTGTCTTTACTACCCTGAAAGAGACCCACAGAATAATAAATGAGAAGGAATAAACTAGTTTTGGTGACTTCCTATTACACAGTTAGAATGAGTTTAATGCAAAATCTTTTCAATTGTTAATACTTTGTGCCTTTGCCTCTGTTGAGTGTAATATCTGTGCCCCATCCTTTCAGTAACATCATATTCTCCTTTAACCCAAACAATGTTGAAATCCATTAAAAATGATAGTGAGATGAGACAGCCCATAACCTTATCTGTGTTTCTCTCCTTTTTTCACCTTATGGACACTGGTAAGTATTGATGACAAGTTATGTCTTCCCTACATCCCATATCTCGCTCCTATCCAGCTCACCTCCAAGGTTAGGATGTCTCTGGCATTCTTCATTCCATTCCTGTGTGCAGCCTTTCTAAGTGCCTTTAAGCCTTCCTCTGGTTTGTTGTTGATAATGAGCCATCGAGCAGACTCTAGCAGCCATCTGATCAAGGAAAAGAACAGAGGTGTAGTCGACTTTCACTTGGTCAGTTCTTACATTACTTTTATTAAGATGTCTGTTCCCTCCAAGCTAATATCCACCACTTGTTTGGTTTTACTAGAAAATGTAAACTCGCATTCTCTTGGAAAAATGTGAGATGACTCCTCCATGCAGTACACATTCACTGTTGGGAATGCAGACTTGGAGTCATACTGGCTCCCTTCTTACTCAGCAAATTTATCACGGAGCTCCTTACTCTGCAGCATGAATGACCATCACTTGTACAGATAGATGCCTGCTAAGGTCCTAGTGAGGTCATAACATGTCTATTTGTAATGTGTTCTTTTTCCTAGATAAAGTCCCTAAAATAATTTATGCACGCTTAAGGCCTCATACAACTAGAATCACTCCTGGTCATATCATCTGTGATCAAATCTGGATATATTAACAAATTACATACTTAAATCTTCTTCAGCATTCTCATCTATGTAATGGGGAGAATATTGCCTTGTAGGGTTGTTATGGAGATAAGATAAATGAATGGGTGAGTCTGACGGGGAGTTTGCTTACTTTTCTATCTGAAATCTTCTCTCTGTGTTAAATCTGTAATCATCTCTCAAAGGGGAAGACCAAATAGGTGTCTTTCACTGAACTGGCCTTTTTAAGGGGAGCAGTATAGTTAACCATCTAGAAGTGTTTGCAAAGCTAATAAAGGAAGAAGAAACACTGACAAATGAGGTAAATTATTCATTTTGTCAATAATTTGGAGAAACTATGCAGTTCTTTCTTCAGATAGTTATGAAAGTAGATTTGCTGCCCCCTTTTTTAAAATCCAATATCACCTACAATAATTAAGAAAAAAAATCCCAAACTTCTCCAACACATGTTTTTTTCCAGGGATATGCATACAAACATAGGATACCATGGAAGGTATCTTCTCAAATGTTTTCCTTTCCTGGTGAAAACATTTTTGTAATAATTCTGTTTCAGTAATACTTGTTAAGGTGAGGATAACCAGGGATACTAAGAACTCCCAGGCAATTATTCATTGTTATTCCTCATCTCATGGGTTGCTGGTTTTAGCAAACAAAAACACAGTGGCATGGATACATTTGAATTTCTATTAAGCAGTAAAATTTTTTAGTATAAATATGTCTCATGCAATATTTTGGACATAGTTATATTAAAAATTATTCATCCCTTACCTAAAATTTGAATTTAATGGAACTTCCTACATTTTATTCATTTAAATAAGATACAGAACCCTCAGGTGAATGAAATTTCATATAAACAATAAATAATTTTGAGTAAATTATGTCTCTTACAATATTTGAGATACAATGTTAGAGAAATATTTGTTGGCTACGTTATGAAATTTCATTGATTGTCCTCAGTTTTATCAGGAAACTCCGTGTGTTCTGCTTCTTGAATTGTCCATTAAGCACAGATTATGAGAGGATGTGCTTTCAGGTTTACACAAAAAACAAACAAAATCCAAGTGTCCTAGTTCCATGTACATTCTCATTCCAGGATCTCATTAAGACAAAAGAAGAAACCAACTCATACCTTGAGGTCAGAAAGATCACGAAGTATGGTAGAGACAGTACCAGCTGGAGGATGTGCCAGTCTCGAATGGCAAAAGCCAGGCCTGCCAGGGTCATAAATGCAATACTAGAAGCACACATTGCCAATGGAATTCCCATGGCCTGGAATCTGTATGTTGCCCACTCGACTACTGAAAGAAGAAACAAATAAGGCTTTGGCTTCAAAGGTGAGATTTCAGTTTCAAAGTCACAGTTTGGGAAATGTGGATCCCAAGTGTTTACTTACTTAACATAATAGTGTTTGTAAGGAGGGTTGTTGTAGCAGTCCCAGATAAGAAGCGTAGTGAGCAGTAAATGAGGAAGCTGGGAGCCAAGGCTGAACAAATGCCAACAATGGCGAGCTGGAGGTAACACCATCTGAGAACTAACTTTCTCCCAAACCTGAGAAACAGAGACAGGCCAGATAATGGGAACAACAACAAGTGGGGAAAACTTAGCAAAAAGAAGGCACACTTTGAAACATGAAAGATATTTAACAAGTGAAACTTTGCGTTTGAAACCTTAAAAACTCAATAGCCAATCAATGGTAGATCTCAGACACAAGGTTCCCTGTTTCTAAACAGATACCGAGTAGATCAAAGCTTATTTTCCAATCTTTTAGCTGTATATTTTTGACACCAATTGACACCACATAAGACAGGGTGGAATACTGGACATTTTAACACATCAGAAGTCTCTTATACTAACATGCAATATACTAATAACACAATGTGTGTTTTATATACTTTAGCACAGCAGAGAGTCTGAGCAATGCATAGCCTATAAAGCATCTAAATCTAGATGTAGAAGTCTAGGACAGTGCAGGCTATGACTAAACTGATGTGAAAGGAACATCGATAGAGCAGTACATCAAAGTTGCTGAAGTGTTGCAGGGAAGGGCTAAAAAAAAAAAAGGAATTCAGTGTTTTACTGTTTTCTGGGAAAGGAATCCACTCTGTAGCCAACTTGAGCATTTTAGCCTGTGGTGAGGCAAGATTTCAGCTCTCACCAATGTCATTGGCATTGTATCAGTGTCAAAGGTTTTAGCCACTGCTGGAAAGAGATTAAAAGGAAAAAACAGAAAATTAAGGATTTAAACTATCCCACCCTGCAGATGATATGATCAAGTTGGGAAATTTTAAGGAATCCACAAATTGCTACTAGAACTAACAAGTTTATCAAGTTGGCAGGATGTAAGTTTACTATGGAAAATGTAATTATCTTTACATCTATGTATATAATTTACATGTAAATTATCTTTACATATAAATGAGAAATAAATTTAATAAAAACTGCATGACTTTTTCTATAAACTACAAAACATTGCCAAGGGAAATTAAACAAAAATCTACCTTAATGAAGAGCAATGCTATATTTATAGATCAGAAAATTCAATATTTAAAAATGTCAACCTTACCCAAACTGTTGTTCAGATTTAATGGAATCCCAATAGAAATCTAAAGGAAATTAGATTTCTCTCTTAGTTCTGACTCCAAATATCATAACTTAGTTCCTTGTTTTTGACTTTTACATTGGGGGAACACTATGGTGTGTAATCTTTTTGTTGTTCTTGTGGTACCTAACCAAATGGTTTTGATATTAAATTATCTGATTGCAGACAGTGGTCTATTCATTCCCTTTGCTGTAAAAATACATTATGTAAATATCTGCTTATTTATTAACCTATTTTTAATGAGATTATAGATTATTTCTGATTTTTTGATATCATAAAGAGTTGAGTGAGTTATTTCAAAACAATCAGTTTGATCATAGCCTTCTCTGCATATAATCATGCACTATTTCCTCTTAGGTTTGTGAGAAATCACAAAATCCTTAGATGATCTTGCCTTTCATTTTCAGCTGATTCTCCACTGTCATCTCCTGCCTGGCATTCCCTATCCTTTCTTGTACCACCCTGTGATCCACTAAAATTGGCCTATCTGCATTTTCCCAGGACAGTGTCACAAAGGACTGGGTTACTAACTGTTGGAAATTAACCCTCTGACTTTCAGCTCATTCTGTGTTACATTTCCTGTCATACATTCATGGTTCACATTTTCAGGTGAGATACCAGAAGACATGGTGCTGGTGGAGGGCAAGGGGCACTTCAAGTCCCTCATCACCATCAGGGGAGACATGGTTGGGTGATGGTAATTGTTCTCTGCCATGTCAGAAGACATACAGCAAGGTGAATACCCCAACTGATCACACCACAGACTGTGAGAGTATTATCCTTGGATTACTTACCTTATCTGGTTCTAAAAAGCTGTTTTTGCAAAGACAATAATCAAGTTTCCACACATGATTTTTCAACACACCACCAATGACACCTTCAGATATACCCCAGAGGTTTTAGAGGAATGCATGCTCATTATACTTGGAACGATGTGACAACTGTGCTCTGGGCACAAGCCATCAGCTCACAGTGTCCAGATGGAACTGGACCTGGTATTCTTGGCCAAGGCTGATTCCCATATGATGAAACATCTTCCTTAGTTAACTCTCCTTAATTAACATCTTCCTTAGTTAACACCTTCCCTTAGTTAACTCGCTCATGTTTCTAAACCACATGTTGTGGTACCTTCTCTCTAAACCATGTCCTGAAACACCCCCAGTTCACATGGAGATATCATTTCTGTGTCCTGCACACAGAAAATTTTAAAAATAGCACTCACAACACTGATTAAAACTTTACTTTTCTGTTTGGGGATCAAGGCAACCTCAGGACAGTGTAATTTGCGGTAAGTAATTCCAGATGAAACAATGTTTCATAAGTTGATAAAAATGCCCTTAAAGAGCTGTGATCCATTTGCACTCACCTGTCTGATAAATGACCACCTAGGATGGCTCCCACCATCGTTCCAGCCATGAATACAAATTTAGCTACTGAAGTCAGTGATTGAGAGTCACATACCAGATCCCACTGGAAGAGAAGGAATCCAGCACATCAATGCTTATTACCCCTCAGTGTAACCTGATCAAAACTTCTTAGCATGATCTGCAAGTTTCCTTATAAGTCTCTAACTTCCTCTCCAGATTCCTTTTTCAGCATTACCTGACCTTTATTATTCAGGTCTCAACTTAAATGTAACTTTCTCTCGGAAGACTTTCCTAAACCTGTAGGTTTTAATTTCATACTGAACTGGTTCTTAAACTTGACCACACAGTGCAATCACTTAAGGACCTTTAAAAACTTTTAGATAGCTAGATTTCCCCCTTAGACTTTCTGATATGATTGTTTTAGGGTATACTCTGGGCATGGGGGTTTTCCTCAATTTTCCAGATATTTCTAATTTCCAATGACAGGCTGAGCATTACTGACCTAGCAGAACATTTTAACTTATTACATACAAATGCTTGTTTAAACTTTGGTCTTCCCATAACTTAAAGCATTATAATAGCAGGATGCATTCTACTTTTGAATTCATTACTCAAAATGTGTAGGTGTCAGACATTTAATAAAGAAGCAAATAATATTTGCTGAAAGAATAAAGACTAAACACCTACATGTGACTAAAGGCTGGAAGCATGATTATTACTTGTGTTTTTCTAAACACCCAGGTCATGTTCTCATGAGAGGAAAACAGAGCCTCTTACCTCAGTCACGATGGTGGAAGAAAAGGTGCTTCTGTCGTACACCCAGCCATCCACACAGGGCTCTGTGTCTGGGTCACTTGCATTGGGGAAGGTCCCATTCAGGTGAAGGAGATGCCACTGGGTATGAACAAAGCGACGACACTTCTCTGGCCTCATGTTTGAGTCCAGTGGGATGGAGCTTCTCAAGAGGGCATCCTGACTGAGGGTCCTGGTGTCGTTGTCAGAGACAGTATCATTGTCCAGGATGTGGACCCAGCAGCGATGACCAGGTGTGAATGCAGTGAAGTTATCCAGCACAAAATGAGGGTATGCAAAAATAGTGAAGATTGAGAGAAAAACAGCCTGAACGATCTGGAATCTCCACAGGTCACCGGCTTGACTCAGGAGGTCCTGAAAGGCCATTGAGGCTGAACAGGTGATCCCCAAGTGGAGGCAAAATGACTATATCCAGAGAGGTTCAAAGGGGTAAAATGTTTTCTTTCCCTAAGTCACACTAAGTGTGTGTTGGTCCTGACTCCACTCTCTTCTTAATGGACCATACCTCTGGTCTGCAGCAGGGCCATGGAAACAGTTTCTTCAAGTCATTTTGGGGTCAGATAGGCATCCATTTTCTTTAAAGTCATGTAAGAAATAATATGCTCAGATACTCCCAATCATTTATAGTGCAATGTGTTTAAAGTTCTACTTTTTCATGTCTTTAGTAGCTCCCAAAGTTAGCAACGGACTTTGGTCTGCACATTTGCTGTAAACAAACTAAAATAAACCTGCTATGTGGTATGCGGTCACTCCAGGAAGCATGCTTTTGGAGACTCAAAACTGAAGTGCTTTCTTACTTCTCTGAAAACAATAGAAAGGAAGTGTTTCCTTGTTAAGTACCAATTTTTGATTAAGAGTTAATCTAGAAAATCCAAGTAAAAATAAAGTAGGGGTACTACGGTGCAATCCTTTCATATTGGTGACTGATGTTCTGCTTCGTGTCAAATCATACCACAAATTCACCCTAGAAATATGTTGCTTGAAATGTGGACAGAATAGATGGTGATGAAAAGAAGAGAAGTAAGCTAGTGGTAAGTTCATATGGAGGTTTACTTTTACTGGCTTATTGATTTTTTTTCAGATAGTATTTGTGAAGACCTTTTCTCTTGTTAGTTCCTGAAATAATGTATGTGACAAGTTCAAGGATCTTATAGTTTAGTGAATAAGAGAGAGTACATAAATAATTGCATTCCGATATTATAAATATGATGTGAGATGCACTATGTGCTATGCAAGAATTCGAGACAAAACATGGTAGAAAATGTCACCTTGATTCGGACTAAAAGTTCTATTAAATTTAAACCTCCTTGAAGTATAATTCATTTATCATACAATTTATTCTTTTAAAGTAGAATCACCACTATATCATTACAGAACATTTTAATCACCACGTGGGAAACCATACTCATCAGCAGTAACTCTCCACTTTTATTCACACATTGCACTTAGCAACTACTAATTCACTTTCTGTTTCTATAGATTTGCCTATTGTGGACATTTGATTTACAAATTGAATAATAAAATACTTGACTCTTTGTATCTGGCTTCACTCATTTAACATAATGTTTCCAACTTTCATCTATACTGTAGCATATATCAGTCCTTCTATCCTTTTCATGGCTAGATTATTTTTCCATTGTATGGATATAATATGTACATTTTTGCTTGTCCTTTCGTGGTTGATGGACACTTGGGCTAGTTACACTTTTTGGTTGTTATGTCAGTGCCACTATTAACACTTAAGAATTATTGCATAAACTGACACAAGAGCAGAAAATCAAACACCGCATGTTCTCACTCATAGGCGGGTGTTGAACAATGAGAACACATGGACACAGGGAGGGGAGCACTACACACTGGGGTCTGTTTGGGGGAAATGGGGGAGGGATGAGGGGTGGGGAAGTGGGGAGAGATAGCATGGGGAGAAATGCCAGATATAGGTGAAGGGGAGGAAGGCAGCAAATCACACTGCCATGTGTGTACCTATGCAACGATCTTGCATGTTCTTCATGTGTACCCCCAAACCTAAAAGACAATATAAAAAAAGCATTTAAAAAAAAACTAATGTTATTCAGGTATGATTTGCATATCATAAGAGAGACTTAAATTGTAAAAAAAAAAAAAAAAAAAAAAAAAAAGTCTTCTTTTCCACAATAGTATCTTTTGCCTCTGTTTTTTTTTTTTTCTAAAAGCAGCCAGGACTTTTGGTACAAGGTTAATTTTAAGTAGTGAGACCTGATACCCTGACCTTGTTCTCTAATCTTAGGTTAGAATTGAAGCTTTCACTATTGTATGTGATGTTAAATGTGGTATTATTTTTAGATGCCCTTAATAATGGTTGAGATGTTTCCTTATATTTATAGCTTTCTGAGTGTTTTTATTGTGAAGTAATTTTGATATATAATGAACACTAATTTTTATAATACCATATTTTTACTGTACCTTTTCTATATTTATATATGTGTAGATAAACAAATGCCATTGTATTTCAACAGCCTATAGTATTCAGCACACTAGCATGCTATACATGTCTATAACCTAGGAGCAATATACTATACCATTTAGCTTAGATGTGTAGTAGGCTATACCATCTGGGTTTGTGTAAGTATACTCTATTACATTCATACAACAAAAATTTGCCTAACAATGCATTTCTTAGAACATATTCCTGTTAAGCAATGCATATGAGACTAGAAAATGTAGGTCTTCCTTATATTCAGAAAAAAAGGAAAGCAATGGCGATTATCTAACCAGATTGCACAACAATTAATAATTAATGAAACACTAGACTTTACATTTAGCACAATACAAATTTCCCTTCTTTGGGATATTAAGCAGGCACACCCCAATTATCATACTCCTCATTGTATGAGACAGTGTCCTCATCAATTTGGCCATGAATTCCCTTAACGTATTTATGACTCTGTTTCTCTTTTCCTTCATGCTTTAATACCATTTTCTACTTCATAACATAGGAATCAATATATAGTATTAACTACCTATACTTCTTTAAATTTATATATATATTTTACAAAATTAATGACATTGTTTGGTTTACATATCTTTTAATTTGCATGTCATATAAATGTTATCTCATTATTTTTATGGACACTCCATTTAATTTTTAAGATACACATAGATTCCTCTGTGTGTTTCTAGTTCACTTTTCTAACCATTACACTTTGCTCCACAGTGGAGATCCACTATGCTGTTCCTATTATCTTTCTTAGGAATGTACAACCAGATTGCCATCAAACGTTTGCCACTCCAAAATATCACCGCTTTAACAACCTTACACACACACACATACACACACACAGCCACAGATGTGCATATAGAATTATAGCTACCGTATCCCAGATACTTAATTTTTCAATTGTTAAATATATATATATGCTTTGTTGGCTTCATTTCTAGGTGTTTTCAGAGGGCCAGGACTCTGTACAGAATCTTTATTTGTGACTAGATTTTGCGTTAGTTTTGCAGGTGCTATATATTGGCAAAATATTTTGGTGTTCTATTTTGGGCTGCAAGCCAGTTGGTGGCACTTAAGAGTGTTGGCTGACAGATAGACTCTGAGACAGCTTTTTTTGTATTTTGGTGCAGTTGGCAGAAGTGCTCTGTGGTATGGGGACAGAGATGACTCCTTCACCTGATCTACTCCTGGGTCTTAGAGGAGCCAGCTCCCTTTGCTGGCTCCTTAGGGAACAAGGGGATTTTCCCATTCCCAGGCCTTCCCAGGCTCCATGTCTGCATCTCCTTTGTTAAGCTTTCTTGTCCACAGGGCTCCCTCAGAGAGGGGCTGTGGTTGGCAGAGAGACCATACCTTTCTCAGGTCAGCCCTGGGGAGGGAGTCACACCCTTCTTCTCCCAGATGTTCTCAGAGTGAAGGCTCCTCACTGCTTGGGTCCTGCCTAAGCTGATATGTCCTGCTTGGCTAGAGCAATGGGGTGGGTATAGTTGCCCAGTCCACTGTCCAGGGCTTCCTATAAAAGCACAGAGCTGCACCTACTGGCAGAGTTCAGGCAGAGGTGGGTCCTCTGTGTTGGAATCCCCAAATGGTGTATCCTTCCCAGGTAAGAGGAGGAGGGGTTGGTATAGTGAGTTAATTCACTGTGTGGGTGCTTGCCTAGGGAATTCGGGGCTGCTCTTGCCAGCAGAGTTCAGGCAGAAGCAGGTCCACTATGCTACAAGCCCCAGCAAGCATGGCCGGTCTGGCTGTGAGCAAGCAGTGAAGTCACCCACCCCACATCCAGATGTTTCCTGGGGGGAGCACAGGACTGCAACCACCCACAGAGTTCAGGAGATGCAAGTCTGCTATGCTGGAAGCCTTTCTGATTACACGCAAGCAGCAGGAGTGGGTGGAGTAGCTCACTCTGCCATCCAGATGTTTCTCATGGGAACATGGGGCTGCTCCTGCCTGGAGTTCAGGCAGAAGTGAGGCCACTATGGCACTGAGCCTGGTATGGAAATGGGAGGATAGGGCGATCTTACTCCTGGGCACTGTGGCTGTGGTGCCTACTGGGGCTATGGCACTGGTACTCTACTGCTCCAGGGTCCAAGGCTCTATAGAGGTCACTGTAGACTTGAGCATTGCCTCTGCAAAACCTCTGGATGTTTCACTAAAGTCTTGAGGCTTTAGGGGGCAGGGAGATTTTCCCATTCCCAGGCTTTCAAAGGTCCCTGTGGAAAGTGTGAATATTCCAGAGGTTCTCACTCACCCTTTCCCCTTGGTGGGAAACTTGTCCTGGCTCCACACCAATCCAAGACGGGCTACTGCCCGGCCTCTCTTTTGTCTGTTCTGTGTCCCCTTGCTGCCGTGATGGATCCTGTGGTGGATTCCTAGTTGATAGACTTGCAGGGTCAGTATCACCACCCACTTGCTCTCCTATCCATGAGAGCAGTGCACACTAGCTACTTTCAGTTTGCCATTTTGATCCTTTCCCTCAACAAATCATTTTTATATAAATATGTTCAAAATATTCCATGGGCCATAGAATATTCAAGATATTCCATGATCATGAAAGAAATCTTACATAAGAAGATTGATAAGGGGACAATCTCCAGTAGGCTTGTGTCTTCACACCGCTGCATTGTGACCAGCACCCATTGCTGGACAGCCAATATGGAGTAGATCATGAAAGCCCAGGAACTTTGGGACAATGCTAAGATGGGCTACATGATGGCCAAGAATCACCTGGAGATCAATCCCGATCACTGCAGTGTGAAGACTCTGCAGCAAAAGCCTGAGGACCTGGTGGCACTGCCATTTGAAACCACGCTACTCTCTTCTGGCTTCTTTTCCTGAAATAGTTTTCCTGTAAAGAGCAACCAGCAGCCAGGTGCAGTGGCTCACACCTGTAATCCCAGAAATTTGAAAGGCCGAGATGGGTGAATCACCTGAGGTCAGGAGTTTGAGACCAGCCTAGCCAACATGGTAAAACCCCGTCTCTACTAAAAATACAAAAATAATTAGCCAGACGTAGTGGTGCATATCTGTAATCCCAGCTACTTGGGAGGCTGAGGGTGGAGAATTTCTTGAACTTGAGAGGTGGAGGTTGCAGTGAGCTGAGAAGGCACCATTGCATTCCAGACTGGGTGGCTGAACAAGACTCCGTGCCAAAGAGAGAGAGAGAGAGAGAGAGAGAGAGAGCACGCGAGAGCGAGCAATACCATCTATTAAGTAAGCTCAGTGGCCAGGTCTTTTGTGCCCATCTATTGTAAACAAAGCTTTGG